GGTGACCTTAGGGCAAGATCCCACCCAGCTAAGTTTCCAACTTGTGTAAAGGAATTAAAGAAAAGCAGGCGCAAAGCTACACAGAGAAACCCTGTCTCGAAAAACCAAAAAAAAAAAAAAAAAAAAAAAAAAAAAAAAAGAAAAGCTTAGGGCTGGGTGTAGTGGTACACATCTTTAAATCTCAGCACTTGGAAGGCAGAGGCAGGCAGATCTCTGAGTTTGAGGCCAGTCTGGTCTACAGATCCAGTTTCAGGACAGCCAAGCTTAGGCAGTGAAGGTATCTATTGAAAACAAAAAGCTAGTGAAGATGTAACTGAACAAGAGGGCCATGTTCCAGCCCTAGCAAGCAGCAGAACTTGGCAACTTCAGCCATGTGGTTCTAGCTTTAGACTCAAGGAGAGACTAAGGAAAGCCACTGAGGCTAGAAATGTGTCAGGGGTGACCCTGAACCAATGCCCAGAGAGGCCATTGCATGAGCTGTGAAGTTGAAGCCTGGATTGCCTTGGAGACCCCAAGATGTTGGAGATGCCAGAGTTTTGGGATACCTGCCAAGGAAAGCTTCAGAGAGGATGTGGAGCCAGCCAAAGAGAGAGAGAGAAGTGTGCCGCAGTCAGCGAGGCTGGAAGGGAAGAGCCATTTAAGTCCTTTGACATGACATCAGATATAGAGCTGCAGAGTTTTCCCTGCTGGGTTTCAGACTTGCTTTGGTCCAGTATTTCTTCACTATGCCCACTTTCCTCCATTTTGGAATGGTAACACGAATCTTAAAAGGTCTTATAATAAAAAACCCAGAGCCAGATATCAGGGTGAAAGCTGAAAGATCCGAGTAGAACAGCCAGCCTCTAGTTCTTACCTCTATGAAACCCTCAGTCTAAAGAGAGTGAGTTCCTGTTTCCTCACACCTTATATGCCTTTCTCTGCCCAGACATCACTTCCTGGAATTAGAGGCATTTGTGCTTCCCAGTACTGGGATTAAAGGTGTGTGTCACCACTGCCTGGCTCTGTTTCCAGTGTGGCCTTGAACTCACAGAGATCCAGAGTGATAGGATTAAGGGTGTGTGCCACCACTGCCTGACCTCTATGTCTAATCTAGTGGCTGTCTTCTGATCCACATGCAAATTTATTAGGGTACACAATATATCACCACATGGAATAGTAATGTATATTCTGTGCCATTATATATTGGAAATATGTGATCTGCTTTAAAAAAATTTTTTTTATTAAGAAAATTTTTCATTCATTTTACACACCAATCAAAGATCCCCCTCTTCCCTCTTCCTACCCCCCTCTTCCCTCTTCCTACCCCCCCTCCCCCTCCCAACCCACCCCCCTCCCTCCCACAAGAAGGTAAGGCCTCCCATGGGGAGGCACATCCAGTAGAGGCCAATCCATGCCCTTCCCCCTGCCTCAAGGCTGCACGAGGTGTCCCATCCTAGGTAGTGGGCTCCAGAAAGTCCACTCATGCACCAGGAATGTGTAGCTTGAGTTTTCCTGCCTGGCCCACAGTCAGGACAAATCTCCCTCACCTGCCAGTCCCACAGACGCTCAGACCTGACCAAGTAAACACAGAAACTTATATTGGTTACAAACTGTATGGCCATGGCAGGCTTCTTGCTAACTGTTCTTACAGCTTAAATTAATCCATTTCCATTAATCTATACCTTGCCACATGGCTCGTGGCTTACCGGCATCTTCATATGCTGTTTCTCATCGTGGCGGCTGGCAGTGTCTCTCTGACTCAGCCTTCCACTTCCCAACTTTATTCTCCTCCTTGTCCCGCCTACACTTCCTGCCTAGCCAATGGCCAATCAGTGTTTTATTTATTGACTAATCAGCAACACATTTGCCATACTGAACATCCCACAGCAGGGATGGATTCTGGTGATCTGCTTTTTGATTGGAATTTTACAGGGGGTTACAGTTAAGAGATTACATGAATTTCAGAAGAGACTTTGAACTTTAGTCTTTTATATAAGTTTGAGACTGTGATAAACTAGTTTGAAGTTGGACTGAATGCAGTTTTGCATTGTGATATGGCCACATGTCTGTAGAGGCCAGGGAGTAAAATGTGGTGGTTTGAAAGAAAATGGCCCCCAAAGGGAGTGGCATTATTAGGAAGTTTGGCCTTATTGGAGTAGGTATGACCTTGTTGGAGGAAGTGTGTGACTGTAGGGATGGGCTTGGAGGTCTCCTATGTTCAAGCTACACTCAGTGAGACAGTTCACTTCCTGTTGCCTTTGGATCAAGATGTAAACTCTCAGCTTCTTCAGCACCATGAAACTGTAAGCCACTGAATTAAATGTTTTCATTTATAAGAGTTGCTGTGCTCATGGTGTCTCTTCACAGTAATAGAAACCCTAAAACAAGGCCTGCCTACAACCCTATCTTATGGGGACTTCTTAATTGAGGTTTCCTCCTTGTCAAGTTGACACAAAACGAGCCAGCGTACCCTCTGAGTGGTTTCTGCCCTCTGCTAGGAGCAAAACCATAGAGCTCAAAACATGCATCTCAGTGTTTATAGATAGAGACTGTGTTTGACTTTATTAGTGCTTCAGATATAGTCTGATGTTTCTTTTAAATTTTTGCTTTCAATTTTGTGTATGCATGTGTGTCTTCATGGTGGTTTGTGCATGTGAGGGCAGGTCCTGAGAAGAGAGTGTTGGATACTTTGGAATTGGAGTTACAGGTGGTTGTGGTCCTCCTGACATGGTTCTGGGAACCAAACTTGGGTCTTTTATAAGAACAATTATGTCTCTTAATTGTTGAACCAGTTTTCCAGCTCTTAAGTGTCTTTTTCCAAACAATGTATTCATCAATTTTTATTGTTTGTATGGTGTGTGTGTGTGTGTGTGTGTGTGTGTGTGTGTGTGTGTGTGTGAGAGAGAGAGAGAGAGAGAGAGAGAGAGAGAGAGAGAGAGAGAGAGAGAGAGAGATGGTGCAAGCATGGATAGGATAGAGGAAAACTTTGTAGTTGTTTCTCTCCTTCTACCTTCATGTGCATTGTAGGAATCAAATTCAGATTGCCAGGTTGTGCAGCAAGCATTTTACTCACTGAGCCATCTTGGTAGCTCCCTAGTCAGACTTTTTTTGGTAAATTTATGCTGAAGTTGGCCATGATGGTGGTAGATGTATGTAATTCCAGTACTTGGGAAGTACTGCAGGATGCTTAGGGCTTCAGGGTCAGTCTCAACTGCATATTTAGTATGAAGCCAGCCTGGACTATAGGAGACTTGGTTCAAACTAACAAAACAAACAAACAACCCCATTTGATGTTCTGGTTTTAATCTTTTGCAGCAAAAGTAAGTGAGCCAGGTGTTAATTTTTATTGTCTTCTATATTGTGATCCCATTGAGGAGTGCCATTTACCACATCAGAATTTAGGGTCAAAGTGCCTAAAGCTTTATTTCATCTCTTAAGTAGATGATTAGAACAATTCTGTGTTTTTTTTTTCTTTCTGAGTCTTGTTTGTTTTATGACACATTTATACATTTATTGATTTAGTATGTGTTACTGGATGGGGGAAGGACTCATGTCACAGTATGAGTGTGGAGTGTGGGAGCCCGTTTTTTGGTTCCTCGTGACTTTACCCAGCATGTCCGTATAGAGGATGATTAGGACCATGGGCCTGAATGCAGGTGTCTGAGATGGTCTGCACTTGGCTGTGCTGGGGGGAGGTCTTTTGCTCCACCCCCTTGGCGTCTCTATAAATACCCTGGGGCAGAGACAGTCGGCCGTTGGAAAAGGTTCCAGGCCCTCTCGAGGCTATCCTTTATTTTGTATCTGTTTATCTCCACAATATTCTCCGCAATAAATCCTTCTATCTAATATTTCCTGCTGCTCACACTCAAGAAAACTCTGGGGAACTGTGGGGTTGGTGGGTAAATGCCCCACAGTGGAGGACAACTTTCAAGAGTTGATTTTTCTCTGTCTACCATATGGGTCCCAGAGATTGCACTCAGGCTGCCGTGTCTATCTGTAAGCACTTTTACCTGCTGAGTCATCTTACTGGTCCTAAATCTAGATGTTTTTGTTTCTTTTTAATTTATTTATTTTATGTGTATGAGTGTTTTGCTTGTATATGTGTGTTCCATTTGTGGTGCCTGTGGAGGTCCAAAGAGGATAACTAGAGTTATGGATGGATGTATGCCACTATGTGGTTGCTGGGAACTGAACCCAGGTCCTTTGCAAGAGCAACAGCACTCTAACCACTGAACCATCTCCCCAGCCCTCTGAATCTACGTTTTTGAACATAAATGCAGCTGGAAGTTTCCCTGTGTTCTACCTGGTCTGCATCTGCTCAGACCCAAATAAACACACAGAGGATTGTATTATTTTTAAACTATATGGCCTGATGGTTTAGGCTTCTTGCTAACTAGCTCTTACATCTTAAATTAACCCATTTCTATAAATCTATATTTTGCCACATGGCTTGTGGCTTACTGATACTTTACATCTTGCTTCTCCTGGTGGCAGCCAGTAGCATTTCCTCAGCTCTCTTTCTCCTTCCTCTCTCTCTAGTTAGAATGTCCCACCTAACCTTATTCTGCCTCACCATTGGCCAAACAGCTTTATTTATCAACCAATCAGAGCAACACATATTCGCATCATACAGAACGACAATCACATCAATGTTGCTAATGATAGGAACCCTTGAAACCTTAGGATAGTTAATTTTAAAATTTTTATTTTTGTCTACGAATGTCTGTATGAATGTATTCCATGTATATGAAGGTATCCACAGAGGCAGAAGAGAGTGCTTGATCACCTGGAGCTGAAGTTACAGGTGTTTGTGATCAGCCCAACATGGGTGCTGAAAACTGTACTCAGATCCTCTAGAAGAGCAGCAAGTGCTCTTAACTGCTCAGCCATCTCTCCAGCCGATGTGTTATCATTTTTAGTGGCTTTCACTCATATCACCATCAAAAAGAGAGAGAGCTAATTATGATGCTTTATTATTGATAGATAAGATTTGCTGATGATCCATGTCTTCAAGAATGCAAGTAACGATGTAGAAAGAGGAAAGATCACCACTGGGGCCACTTATATATGTAAACTGCCTACACGTGTCCTTCAAATTCTGGAAGAAAGTGTTCCAGTGTATTTCACCATCATCCTTTCAGGATGGAAGCCATCACTTTGTCTCATGGTAAGTCTTGCTCATGTGTTGTGTGCTCCTTGTACAGATGGAATAGGTGTTGCTGCTCTGGGCTTGGAATAGTCATGCTGCATCTCAGGGATGCTTCTGTGGTTTGAATATGAAATTATCCCAATGATTTACAGGAACCCTTGGTTCCCAGCATGTAGTGTTGTTTGGAAAGGTTGTAGAACTTTCAGGAGGTGGAGCTTTGCTGGAGGAAGCGGCTCAGTGTTGAATGGGCCTTGAGGTTTTGTAGGCCAGCCCAACTTCCTGTTCGTTCTCTCTTTGTCGACTGCTGATGTAATGTAACCAGTCAGCCTCCCACTCCTGTTGCCGTGTGCTCCCCTGTAGAGAGAGGAGAAGATCACCACTGGCCCCTTGTGTGTATAAACTACCTAGACATGTCCTTCAAAGTCTGGAAGATAGTGTTCCGGTATATTTCAAGGATTATATCCTTTTGAACTATAAGCCAAAATAAACTCTCCATTGAGTTGCTTCTTTTTTATTTTTTTAAAAAGATTTATTCATTTTATTTTTTTATGTGTTTGCCTCCATGTGTGTCTGTGGACCACATTTATGACCTGTGGAGGTCATAAAAGGGTATTAGATCTTCTGGAGCTGGAGTTATAGATGGTTGTGAATTACTGTATTGTTGCTAGGAACTGAACATAGGTCCTCTGTAATAGCAACAAGTGCTCTTAATAATTGAGCCATCTCTCCAGCCTCCAAAGTTGTTTCTTGTTGGGTATTTTTATCATAGCAACAAGAAAAATAGCTAATATAGATGGCTGAAATTGGCAAGAGTTGCTGAAGTTGTCTGTTTTATAAGCCAGCTTGCTGATATGTGTTCTTTGGTTATGGGTGCCACTTGATTTCATTCATGAGTTCCTTTACCATGTGCAGTTAATAGGTCCCGTTTCTAGGGCTTATTGTTCTTTACCTGTAAAAAGGCTGATATACTTGTCCTCATGGGCAGTGTGGCTCACCGTTCTTTTTTCTGAGGTTGACTGCTCTGGCACTGTGTGGTAGTTCTGTATGCATTCGAGATGAGAAGCAATAAGATGAGATGAGTTTTGTGTGTGTGTGAGAGAGAGAGAGAGAGAGGGGGGGGGATTATATGGGAATTTTGAACTAGGATAGGATGACATCCATGTTTGTAAATGTGAGAATTATGGATAACTCTGGTTTCTTTTTCCCCCACTAGGTTCATTTTCTAGGGACCCATGCTACTTTTATAATGAAAGGACAGAGATGGACAGGATGGTGTCTGACTGCCTGACAAATAGTTACCAGGTGTGACTAAAGTGTATCCTGCCATTACACCCATAAGGCTGACACATTTCCATGTAGGCAGACATTTTTCTCCAGAGTTTCTGGAACGAAATAAAACCTTATTCTAGGACTGAGTGATTAGTTGTATTTCTTCATTACTATATCCCCTCAAACTGTAAGCCAGAATAAATCCTTTCTCCCCGAAGTTGCTTCTTGTCATATATTTTATCATATCAATGAGAAAAGTAAACTTTTTTATTGGTTTAGGATTACTGTGAAATCATTCCAGTATTTCAGTAATTCATAATTAATCTTCACCTTCATGACCCTGATTGTGTGTATTTCTGATTTTATTGTGTTCTGATAGTTGATAAAGAGGATGAATGTTCTCCTTTCTGAAAGACGTTATTCACCTATCACCACTTATCAAGTGTGTGCAGTGTGTTTAGCATGTTTAAGTAGAAGGAAATAAATGAGAAAGAGTATCTGGTCTGGTTGTGGGTGAGATAATGGGATGTTTCAAGGAAGATGTAAGGATGGAGTCTAGGCACTAGATTAGTGGTGTATGTCTTTAATCCCAGCACTGGGTAGGTAAAGGTGAGGAAATAGTTTAGGGTCAGCCAACCTGGCCAACCCTGTCTTTAAAAGTAAGATGTGAAAGTGAAAATTAATAGTAGTGAGATGGATATTAAGAGTGCCTAGGTCTATCCACTGAACTCTGGCATAGACTGCTGGAGAACTCCCAGCTCTTTGTAACATTGAGTTTCCATCCTCAATCTCCTGTGACCTTGGATGGAGATGTTAGTGGGCTCAAATCCAAGTGTGTGTGATTGTAGGAGTCAGTGACCTTTGAGGATGTGGCTATAGACTTCACCCAGGAGGAATGGACTTTATTGGACACAAAACAAAGGAACCTTTACAGAGAGGTGATGCTGGAGAACTACCAGAACCTGGCCTCATTAGGTGAGGTTCCCCTCATTCCCTATAGATGCTCACAGAACAAAAATATTTGTATATTTTTCTAATTATATTTTTTAATTTTATGGTGTGTGTGTGTGTGTGTGTGTGTGTGTGTGTGTGTGTGTGTGTGTTTGTGTGTGTGTATCATAGTCCACAAGTGGAGTTCAGAGGACAACTTTTGGGAGTCATCTCCTCCTATCACGTGAGTTGTAAAGATGGAACCTAGGTTGTCAGGCTTGGCATCAAGCACCTTTCCCTGCTGAGCCATCACACCTATGAGTTTTCTGTGTTTTAGGATTGGTGATGGCAGCTCTAAGGACAGAAAATAACAGAGGGCTAGACAATAACAAAAGGCCAGGCATGGTGGCACATGCTTTAATCCCAGTATTAGGGAGGCAGAGGCAAGAGGATCTCTGTATTTGAGTTCAGCCTGGTCTACATAGTGAGCTCCATAATAGCCGGGACTACATACAGAGACTCTCTCAAAAGACAGAAAGAGAGAGAGACAGAGACAGAGACAGAGAGAGACAGAGACAGAGAGAAAGAGAGACAGAGACAGAGAGACAGAGAGAGAGAGACAGAGACACAGACAGACAGAGAGACAGAGACAGAGACAGAGAAGAGAAACAGAGGTCTCAAACTCTGCCCTACTGTGTTTTAATCAGTTGTGGTGCTTTTTAAGACACAGTCCTAAAATCACTAGTGTTGCTGTTCTGCTCTACTAAAAGTACATTTTCAGACTACCTTTGACCAACTGAATCAGAAACATTTAATTTGGTGCCTTGATCATCTCTGTTTTAACAGTTCCTCCATATGGTTCTGATGCACTGAAATATTTAATACTAGTGTAACTTTTTTTCTCCATAATAACAAAGATCTTGTGGATGTGGTGACACATGCCTTTCATCCTAGCATTCCAGGAAGTAGAGACAGGCATATATCTGTGAGTTCAAAGCCAGTCTGGGTCTATAAAGTTTTAGACCAGCTAGAGACACACAGTGGAGAAACCTATCTCAGATTTTTTTCTTTCACTTTCTTTTCTATTTGATTAATATTAGTGCTTAAAAATGTTCTGTTTACATTTATTTTTTTGTTTGTCATAGCACACATCTAAAAGTCAGTAGTCAGTTTGTGGGAGTTAGTTCTTTTCTTCCACCATGTCCCAGACAGGTAAATCAGGTGGTCATGCTTAGTGTCAAGCATTTTTACTTGGTGAGCTGTCTCAGTATTAGTGTTTTGTCTTGTCCTTGTAACCATCACTTTAGGCTTTAAGGGAAAGAAACCAGTACCTATTGACTATAAAAGGGGTATTTACGTGTTGGAGTCTTCAGCAGTATTTCATTGCTGTTTTTGAAACCATAGTTTGTAAGTCATGGAAAGGTATACCCTTTCTTGCTTGATCTGCTTTCATGAGTGCATCTTTCTTCATGTATAGGATGTCAGCTCATCAAACCCAGCTCAAGCTCTTGTTTGGATGCAGAAGAGTTTAGAGTAGTTGAGAGAGGAGTTCACCAAAGTAAATGTTTGGGAGTTGAGTCTATTTGGAATACAGTAGGGACACCCCCCCCACCCCAATTCTGTGGATGGCATGGCAAGCTAAGTAAGTGCTCTACCATTAAGGTGTATATATCACCAAGAAGTGAAAACTTGAGTCAGGAGGCTGAGGCCATTGGACTTGAAAGTTTTAGGAGATGTTTCCAAATTCCATTACTTTACTTAGAATTTTTTACAATCTCAATAGTCCAAATCTTTCTTTACTCCCTTAATAATACTGTCTCTGTTTATCAGTGCATTTAAATTTCAGAGAAAATCATTCATTTCTAAATTTTGACTGCCTATTCTCTTTGTAATTATATTTTATGTTTATGTTTTTATTGTTATCATTATTATTATTGACTATTGGATCCAGAGCCTCTTAAAAATATTATTGTTTTAAGTTTTATGTGATGCATATGGGCCTGTGTGAGTTCATGTGTGCCTTGTGCCTACAGGTGCTTGTGGTGGTCAGAAGGGGGTGCCAGGTCCCCTGGAATGAAGTCAGAAGTAGTTGTGAGCTGTCTGATGTGGGTACTGGGGACTGAATCTGGGTGTTTTATTTATTTATTTTTAAACAAGAACAGCAAGTGGTCTTAGCCTCTGAGCCATCTCTCTAGCTCTTAGGACCTCTTTTATTTTGACACAGACCTATATCCCAGCCTGTAAAATCCTAGACCTAGCCAAGTTGCTAACATAACATAGCTTTGTTTTTAACTTGTTTAATATGAATACAAATTCAAATTAGATGTGTAATTATTAATGTTTATTTCTCTGTGGAAGCACTTACATGGTTCTTGTTGTTGTTTAACTTCAGAATGGGCTATGCGACTTAACACCAGAGGGACAATGTTTCAGCAGGATATTTTTCAGTTAAAAATATCAAATGAGATACAACTGGTAAGAGTCACAAGAGATATTTCATATTTTCTTCATTAAAATAGACTAGGTATTTCATGTAAATTTCATTAAAATCCTTCCAAATAAAGAGGTATTAGAGAGAAATAGCTTACATCCATAGAGTCTAGAAAGATGTTCTAATTCTAGTTTGAAACTTGAGTTCCCATAAGCTCGTATTCCTACTTATAGTTACAGATATTGGGCTTTTAAAACAATTTCATGAAAGCACAGGGAGCCTTTCAGAATTAGAACAGAAGGCATAAGATTCTTGCAATAGGATTTTTTCATTCGCATTGAGTGAAATACATGTAATTAAAATTGGAAAAACTTTCATCCTCATCATGTTCATGTCTTTAGATGAGTGAAGTATACTAATAAATTTCAAAAAAAATTAATATATTATTATTTTCTTTTAATCAACAGTCAAATAGCCACAATGGAAAGGAGCTGTGTGACTTTAAGCCACGTGAAGACAACTTCAAAGAACCTTCATGTAGTCTGACACACAAAGATATTCAAAACAGAGGAAACATTTATGATTGTGTTCAGTATGGACAAGCCATTCCTACTTGGCCTGAGGAAAACTCTTCTGCAGACAAAGGTCCTGAATTAAGCCAGTATGAAAAAGACATCAGTCTGGCTGCAAGTGATGTTTACCAGACAACATGTGTACAAGCCAAATTCCTCGAATCTAGTGAATTTCAGCAAGCCTTGGATAGTCAGTCATATCTTCAGGCATCTGGGAGAACTCACAGTGAAGACAAACTCTTTAAATGGGTACGGTGTGGTGATGCTTTTAACCCAGCTGTGGGTCAAACATGCACTGGAAAAAAATCCTATGAATGTAATGAATGTGGGAAAAGTTTTAAATATTCTGCCAACCTTAATATTCATATGCGTACCCACACTGGGGAGAAACCTTATCAATGTAAGGAATGTGGGAAAGCTTTTTCTAGGTGTTACCCTCTAACTCAGCACTTAAAAACTCACACTGAAGAGAAACCCTTTGAATGTAAGGTTTGTGGAAAATGCTTTAGAAATTCCTCATGCCTTAATGATCACTTTCGAGTTCACACTGGAATAAAGCCCTATAAATGTAAGGACTGTGGCAAAGCCTTCACAGGGCGCTCTGGCCTTAGTAAACATTTACCAACACATACTGGAGAGAAGCCTTATAAATGTAAGGAATGTGGGAAAGCCTTCACTTCAACCTCAGGCCTTATTAAACATATGAAAAGTCATATGGGAGAGAGACCCTTTGAATGTGATCATTGTGGAAAAGCTTTTGCTTCTTCCTCAACTCTTATTACACATTTGAGAACACACACTGGAGAGAAGCCCTATGAGTGTAAAGTATGTGGGAAAGCGTTTACATGTTCCTCTTACCTTCGCATTCACATGCGGACTCACACTGGAGAGAAGCCCTATGTATGTAAGGAATGTGGCAGAGCCTTCACTGAGCGCACAAGTCTTACTAAACATTTACGAACACACACTGGAGAAAATCCCTTTGAATGCAATGTGTGTGGAAAAGCATTTGCATGTTCTTCCTACCTTCATAATCACATACGGACTCACACTGGAGAGAAACCTTATATATGTAAGGAATGTGGAAAAGCCTTTACTGTTTCTTCACATCTGAGTAAACATGTAAGAATTCACACAGGGGAGAAACCTCATAAGTGTGAGGAATGTGGGAAAGCATTCACTGTGCGTTCTGGTCTCACAAAACATATACGAACTCACACTGGGGAGAAGCCCTATACTTGTAAAGAATGTGGGAAAGCCTTTACTACATCTTCAGGCCTCCTTGAACATATAAGAAGTCACACAGGAGAGAAACCATATGAATGTGACCAGTGTGGAAAGGCCTTTGCTTCTTCTTCATATCTTATTGCACATCTGAGAATTCATACTGGAGAGAAGCCCTTTGAGTGTAATGTGTGTGGGAAGGCATTTACATGTTCCTCCTACCTTCACATTCACATGCGAACTCACACTGGAGAGAAACCCTATGAATGTAAGGAGTGTGGGAAAGCTTTTGCTGTTTACTCACATCTAAGTAAACATGTCAGAATTCACAGTGGGGAGAAAGCCTATAAATGTAAAAGTTACGGAATACCTTTCAGTAGTTCTCATATTTCAGGACACATAAAAACCCTTGAGATAAATTCTTTGGTTGGAAGGAATGAAGAGACTGCTTTAGGAAGTTCTATTGCTTTAACAGTGCATTCAAATTCACAGTGGCAAGAAAGCTTATCAGTGTAAGCCATTTGTAAAGTGATTATATACTAGTTGGCTTTAAAGATGTGAAAGAACTCATGTTGCAAAGATGCCTCATGAACTCAAAGAGTATGGGAAGTCATCAGAATGCTCAAAATCAAGTTCACATGAACCCACTTTGAAGCTGCACAGTGTCAGAAATTGGAAAGCCTTCACTGTTTCATGGGCTTTTTAGAAGTATGTGAGAGAAACTATTGATATACAATGTGGAAAATTGTATTTCTGCTCATTGCTTTTATTACCTATAGTGGAGGATTTTGTGAAAGTAAGAAATGTTGGAAAGTAATTATTTACATTAGTCATCAACATTCAGTAAACATGAAGTGGTTCACACTTGGGAAAATGTGTGTATAGAATATGGAGGTTGTTTCTTTGTCTTAAGATCTTGTATACTAACAGAAACTTGGCTTTCTTGATAGTTTTATAAATTTGTTTTAACCATTTTTTTGCATTTTCAATATTTGAGATATTTTTAATATTTGCACTTAATGACTTTCCAGTCTTTAAAATCTATTTAAGATGTATAAGATTCTGTGGAGTATATACACACAAAACAATTATCAGTTTAATTAAAATGTGATACAGTAATTTGGTTTTGGTGTTATGAAGCAATTTTTACTCTCTTAGAAAATTCAGGTAAAGTACATTGTTAACTATATTCATCAACTGAACTCTTAAGTTATCTTGTAACTGAAAGTTTATAACCTTTAACAATAACTCATAAACATTAACTCTTAGCTCTTGGTAACCACAATTACATTTTTTTCTTCTGTTTGACTCTATCACCCTCTTTTGAAGACAGGGTCTCACTATGTAGTTCTGACTATCTTGTAACTTACTATGTAGACCAGCCTGGCCTTGAACTTACAGAGATCTGCCTCCCAAGTGCTGGGATTAAATGCACACATAACCTCACCCATTTACACTCCATGTTTAAATATTATAATGTATTTTTAGTTTTTGTCTTGGTTTATTTTGATATAACAAAATGTCTTCTAGTTTCATGCCTGTTGTCTTGCATGACAGAATTTCCTTTAAGAAATGAAAAGGGTAGACATTCTACTCTTTACGAACAGACTCAAAACATTTGTATGTATGTGTACATGTGATGTGAGTGTGCATGCATCTCTGTAGGAGTATGGGCTCTACAGTGTGCATATAGAGGTCAAAGGAGAACCTTGGGTTTCATCCTTGCCTTCTACCTTAAAACAGTCAATTTCTCATCTTGCCAGTCCCTATGGAAGTTTCTTTACACAAATGAACACTTAGGTTGTTTCCATACTCTATTGTTGGAAATAAATTGAACTGCTACATTGAACATAGATTGCAAATATCTCAGTAAGCATTCCTTAAGTTTATGCCCATAATCAGTCTGTCGGATTATTTAGTTGGTGTATTTATAGTTTTATGAGGAGCTTTGACACTGTTTTTCAGATAGCTCTACCAATTTTTCTTCCATTCAGAATGACAGTATATGCAAACATTTTTGTCTTTCTTTTTTTTTTTTTTTTTTTTTGGTTTTTCGAGACAGGGTTTCTCTGTGTAGCTTTGCGCCTCTCCTGGAACTCACGTGGTAGCCCAGGCTGGCCTCGAACTCACAGAGATCCGCCTGGCTCTGCCTCCCGAGTGCTGGGATTAAAGGCGTGCGCCACCACCGCCCGGCTGTCTTTCTTATTTAGATGTCTTTTATTTCTTTTTCTTATTTAATTGGCTCAAAGTTGCAGTATCATGATGAATATAAGGGATGCTGTTGTTCTTGATCTTAAAGGAAAAGCTCTGGAGTTTTTACTGATTATGATGATAGTCACTGGCTTGTCATACATGTATAGTCATTAACAAATTAAGGTGCAATCATTTCTATATTAAATATATTAAATATTTGTTGAGAGTATCATGAAAGAGTGTTGACTTTTTAAGTGCCTTTTATTTTTGTAACTTTTTCTATGGTGATTTACTTATTCTGTTATGTGATGTGTGACACCTGGTTATTGCATATGTTGAATAAACGTTGCATTATAGGTGTGGATCAAAATCATAGTGCATGATCCTTTTATAAAGTAGGTGCTTCACATGTCATGATTAAATTCATCTATCAAAAGACAGACATGGACTGACAAGATGGCTCACTAGTTAAAGGCACTTGGCATCAAGCCTGACAACTTGAGTATGATTCCCATAACATCCATGATAGAAGGAAAGAACTGACTCCTGAAGGTTATCCTCTGGCCTTCATATTCATGACACATTCATGACATGAGCACACACATCCACAAAACAAATAAATGTGAAAATAAAAGACATGAGGAGCCCACAGGCTACTCTGGCAAGGAAAGGCTAACTGCAGATCTTGGTCTTTCCCTCTGCTTCTCCAAATCCAATTCCCCAATCTATCCCCAGCTCTGCAGCAGACCATCTTCTGTGGCCTGTCTTCCTTCCAACCTCCTTCTCCAATGGATCACACTTTTTTTCCCTCCTACCTTCCCTTTCGCAACTCATTGGTTTGTCCCTACCCTCAACTCCAGGAGGCACTGTTCCAGCCAGGGAAACAGGCAGGCTCACTGCAGATCTTCACCTCTCCCTCCATTTCTCCAAATCCAATCCCCCAGTCTCATTCCCAGCTCTGTAGCAGACCACCTATTACTGCCTCTTATTCTTAACTAAGCAGATCTTGGGGGAACACCCTCCTTTCCTCCCCCCTATGAACCCTTTTAGCCCCCCTTCCTAGCCAATCCCCATTCCTAAGTGTCTGCTCCCAATACCTAGAAATATATTTTACCTGGAGCCCCTGTGGCCATGCATATTAGGATACCAGAAGAATTTCCCACTTGGCAACATAGGACCACCACCACACTCTCCTAAAAACCAGGGAAGGGAACAGAAACCGAGGAGCAAAACACCCATTCAATAAACACAAGGCCAGATATCGGCACCTAGAATTGGAGTCTTCCTTAAACCCATGCCTAGATACCATCATAGAAACACACTAACAGCTAGGATAATGTGTCACCACTAGAGCCTGGCAACTCAACCACAGTAGGCCCTAAGTATTGCATCATAACTGAAGCACAAGAATAAGATCTTAAAATAGTCTTTATGATTAGGATGGAGGTCCTTAAAGAAGAAATGAATCACCTAGAGGAATTTATGAAGACACAAATATTTGATGGATAAGAATATAACAGTTTAAGAACTGAAAGTGGAAATTGAACCAATAAAACCCAAACTAAGGAAATTAGGAAATGAAGAGTTTAGGAACTTGAACAGGAACCTCAGTGTGGGTACCCACAGATACCTCAGCTTGTGACTTGTTTTGATCTTGACTCAAGGTAAGAGAGTCTGAGCTTGTTTTTCTCCCCCACCCCTACAAGACTGCATAATAGGATGTTTTGGCCAAAGGCATGGTTACCAAGTGTCTTATACTTCAAGGGCTTAATCACAGGATGCTTTGCCATAAGGTGTGGTAACTAGATGCCTTGAGTACTAAGGAGGTGTTTACACTTGACTGTACTTTGTACCTTCAACCGTGATGTCCTTGAAAGGGGGAGGTTTTTTTGCCCTCTTGCTTTGGGTTTATAAAGTTTGTGAGTAGTAAACTCAGTTGTCTGTGGTATTGACCCAGAGCCCTCCCAAAGCTATCCTTTGCTTCTGTTTTTTTTTCTTCATCTACATCTATATTTCAAAGCTATTATTTCTCCAGTTCTCCCCCCACCTTCAGAACCATTTGACAGGTTGGACAGGTCTTGATACCTCAGAGGCAAGCATCACCAGTAGAATACAAGAGATGAAAGAGACTTTCCTGTTGTAGGATAATTGTTTTGTATACTGGGAAGATGTGTTTTTGATAAGGTGCCTTCTGGTTGGTTTAATAAAGAGCTGAATGTCCAAAAGATAACCAGGAGAGGATAGGCAAGATATCCAGGGAGAGAGAGAACTAGGAGGCTTATGGATAAAACCAGCAATACACCAGGGAGATATTGAAGAGATTGGACATGTAGTACAGAGTAGAGGTAACTGAGCCACATGGCAGAACATATTAATAAAAGCAGGTTAATTTAAGTTATAAGAGCTAGTGGGACATGCCTAAGCTAATGGCCAAGCTTTCATAATTAATAAGAAGTCTCTGTTTTGATACTTGGGGGCTGGTGATCCAAAGAAAGTCTGACAAGAAATCTTGCTACATATGGAGCCCAATATCTGGTCACGTATATTCACATAAGGCTTGAGAAACTAAAAAAAAGTTCTGAACAAGCAGCTTCCTGATAACTGTGGTTGCTTGGTGACATACAGAGGCATGGCTCTTTTAAAAGGCCCTACTATGCATCTGAGTACTTGAGCAGCTAGCATTGGGTACAAATGTCTGCCACAGGTGGACATAGCATATTCCCAGAGCTAGAGTAGGTAAATGTGGCTATAGGCCTGATACCCATAGGCATGAGGCTAGGCACTTATGGAACCAACTGGGGGCAGAGGCAGCCATCAGTGCATCATATGTTAAGCAGAGCCAAACTTGACAGTAGTTTAGCAGTTTAAGATTTGGCTCACATAGTCAGAAGAGGCTGCAGATGTGCAGAAAGTCAGGTCCCAATTAAGAAAATCTCTGAATAGATATAATATGCTTTAAAATGCTTAAATGCTGAAGAAAGAAAAGAAAATGGATATAGACAATCATAGAAAAATAAATAGTTGCTGGGTGGTGGTGGCACATGCCTTTAATCCCAGCACTTAGGAGGCAGAGGCAAGTGAATCTCTGTGAGTTTGAGGCCAGCTTGGTCTGCAAAGTAAATTCCAGGACAGCCAGAACTACACAGAGAAACCCTGTCTTGAAAAACCAAAAAAAGTTTAATAATCTTTTAAGAAAGAGCAAAGTAATATTAGAAAAAAAGGCCATATAAAGATGGGAAATACACAGGGTGTCTGGATCATGTATGGTATTTTGTTGACTTCAATTTTTTTAAATACTAATGTACAAAAAACAATAGCTGCTGAAGACATTGGATTATGGAGCTGCTAAATTAAACCAATCTATATATTTTAAGAATGTCTTAGCTTCAGAGTGGAAGTAAAAATACATGTTGTATTGGGGGAGAGGATTTGCTTTTGTTTCCACAGGAAACAAAGAGCTATGGAGTTCTTCAAAATTAATAAAGACCAGATTTGATCAGGGGAGACCTGAAAATCTTAGCTACAGACATGAAGAAAAAAAAACAAGAAAAACTACAAAACAGGTGATGTATATGCTGATACCTCTACATGGGAACATCTCTGAGACTGGACAAGACATGATAAATCTTGTTGGCTACAGAGTCCTCATGACAGTTTGGTTATACAGTCCAAACAGACTTAAAAAGTTGACATGTTTTTTACCTTCTCATAGAACAAAAAATCTTTAGTTGACTTGTGCACACCACACATCCCATACTTGTGTTAATGAGGATACATATGTTACCTTTAAAAGTTTGTGTGTTTTCAGAAAAAAGGACCAGACACCAATGAGGATAAGACAAATGGCTCAAGTCATCCAGCCTCTCAGAATGCCTCAGTTGCAGTTTCCTCAAAAATCTATATCCAGAACACCTTTAAAGTTGCTAGCTGAGATGGTCCAACCTCACAGACTATTCCAGCCAAACTTCAGATAAACTCACCACTTTCCCATCACACATGGACTGAACAACAAATGATTCAGCTAGCTCTCCCAGGATTTGATCATTATCCCAATTTTCTCGGGGTCCCCTAATGATGTCATCACTCCCCATCAACAGGAATCAGTCTAGAAGACACAACATTCACATTTCTACAAGGTAGGGTGGGTGATTTTGGTCATTCAGTGGGTTATGGATGTTTGTCATTTAGGGGATTTGGTTTCAAATTGTTACTGGTCATGATAAGGGAGGAAACTAAATGAGTGAGGTTGGATTCAGGAATCTGTTTCTGAAGGGGAAAAAGGGGGAATATAGTATAGAAATGATAGGAAAAAGTAGATTATTGAATCTACTTTTAAACTAAAAAGCAACTACTAGTCTTTAGTATTTTTACATTGATATGGAATTTTGTAATTGATACAATTTTAAGATTTTTTATGCTGTATATGTCTCTACTCTTGTTTAAGATATTATGCCTATGTAGCTCATTCAATAGTGTAGTGTAAACTTCTAGTCCTTGAAAGTTATTATAAACTATTTAAGATAATTAAGAAATACAGGCTAGTAGTTAGTAATCTATAACAATCAAACTTGTAGTCATGTTAGTTATGTTTTCAAGGTTAAACAGAGATATATTTTAGTGCTGCAAGCCACAGGAAAATGTAATGGAATTCAGCTACTATCACAAAAGCTACTACTTGGAAAAGTCAAGAAAGGAGCCAGACGTGAGAGCAGAATAGAAGCTATGTAGAGAATTGTGTTGGTATTTTGATGGGGATTGCATTGAATCTGTAGATTGCTTTTGGTAAGATTGCCATTTTTGTAATGTTAATCCTACCTATCCATGAGCATGAGAAATCTTTCCATTTTCTGATATCTTCTTCAGTTTCTTTCTTCAGAGACTTAAAGTTCTTATCACACAGGTCTTTCACTTGCTTAGTTATTTACCCCAAGGTATTTTATATTATTTATGGCTATTGTAAAGGGTGATGTTTCTCTGATTTCTTTCTCATCCCATTTATCATTTGTATATGGGAGGGCTACTTTTTTTTTTAGTTAATCTTGTATCCTGCCACCTTACTGAAGGAGTTTATCAGCTGTAAGAGTTCCCTGGTAGAATTTTTGGGGTCACTTATGTATACTATCATATCGTCCGCAAAGAATGAAAGTTTGGCCTCTTCCTTTCCAATTTGTATCCCCTTGATCTCCTTTTGTTGTCTTATTGCTCTAGCTAGAACTTCATGCACTATGTTGAATAAA